TGGCTAGTCCTGCTCCCTTCCTCAGAAAACTGGCACTAACTGGGTTAGAGGGCCAAGCGGTATTAGGTATGAGAACACCAACTGGTCACCAGCAATATGACTGGCTAGAGGGCAAGGGTACCCCAGGAAGAATGAAAGAGGGAGCCAGTATGAGTGCTGTCAGGACATAGGGACGCTTGGCAGCCTAAAAGCCTGCAGCCCTCTAGAACATTTCGACCTGCCCCCTGGTGCCTGTCCTGCAGTCAGGATTCTTCAGGCAAATACCTTTTCTCTGGGCGAAGCAGAAAACTCTACTTAGAAATCTGTTTGAAGGCTGTGCTGGTTAAGTCCTATATGAACTTGACACAAGCTAAACACATCTGAGAAGAGGAAGTGTCCACAAGACGGGGCTGTAGGCAAGCCTGGGGTATTTCCTTCCTTCCTTCCTTCCTTCTTTCCTTCCTTCCTTCTTTCCTTCCTTCCTTCCTTCCCTTAGGCAAGCCTGGGGTATTTCCTTCCTTCCTTCCTTCCTTCTTTCCTTCCCTCTTTCCTTCCTTCCTTCCTTCCTTCCCTCCCTTCTTCTCTCCTTTCCTTCCCTCCCTCCCTCCCTCCTTCCCCCTCTTTTTTCATGGTTTCCGAGACAGGGTTTCATTGTGTATCCCTGGCTGTCCTGGAACTCCCTCTGTACACCAGGCCTCAAATTCACAGAGATCAGCCTGCCTCTACCTCCCAAGTGCTGCTGGGATTAAAGGCGTGAGTCACCACCGCCCAGCTGGCATTTTCTGAATTAGTGATTGATGGTGGAGGGCCCATCCCATTGTGGGCTGTGCCATACCTGGGCAGGTGGTCCTGGATTCTATAAGAAAGCAGGTTGAGCAAGCCATGGGGAGCAAGCCAGTAAGCAGCACCCCTCCATGTCCTCTGCATCAGCTCCTGCCTCCAGGCTCCTGAGCAAGCCAGTAAGCAGCATCCCTCCATGTCCTCTGCATCAGCTCCTGCCTCCAGGCTCCCGCCCTATTTGAGGTCCTGTCCTGACCTCCTTCAGTGATGGACTACAGTGTGGAAGGATAAACCAAATAACCCTTTCCTACTCAACTTGCTTTCTGGTCATGGTTATCCATCACAGCAATAGAAGAAACACGAACTAGGACAAAGGCCAAGTCTGGCCTCATCTGGCCTTGCCCCTGCCTGACTCTTTGTCAGTAAGTCTAGCTAGACAGGGAGAAAGAGCAAGTCCTCCAGTACCACAGGGCTACCTAACTGGGAGAAAATAGATAGGTCAGTAATAGTCTACCATCACCTCAGAACTGCATTCCAAAGGAAACCACCCAAACCAGGAATTTGGGCTGATCTTCCACACATTGGCCCTAACTTCCTGGGCTAGAATTGGCCACATCCTTCAGATGTGACATTTGAAATCTGGTACTTCAATCAGCCCTTCAATACTGTCTTCCTGCTAATCTCTGGGTGATACTTTCTTTAGTTAGTTTATTTTGGCCCATGGTCTCACTTTCAGGCCACCCTTGAGGGGAAGGCATGATGAAAAGCTCACTTCATGGTGGGAACATGTGGTGGGAATTGTTCACATCCAAGTGGTGCAGGAAGCAGAGACCACAGTAGGAGGAGGGCCTGCCTCTGGTGATTGGCTTCTAACAGCTAATTCCTACTGCCTAAAGACACCATAGCCCCGCCACATGTGGGTACCAAGTGTTCAAACCATGGCTGTGTGGGTGGTATTAAAGAGGCTGCTCCTGCTTGGGGGATACCAGTGACAAAGGGCTCTGTGTCTCCATCCTAGCCCCTATCTCTCTCCCTATGTTTCTGTTCTCATCCCATTCCTGACTCTAGCTGGAGGCTGAGTCTGTTTAGAGGCTTCATGGTTTAGATACAAATGTCCCACAGTCTCACACATTGAAGCCTGGGTCCCCAGCTGTATTGGGGAAGTGGAGGAAACTTTAAATGCTGGGGCCAGCAGGAGGAAGCAGGTTCCTGGGGGGAGGTGTGCTTTTAAATTAGACCTAGTAGGCAGTGAATGAAACCATTGAAAATAGAAAGCTGGTGAAGATGTAATTGAATGAGGGGGCCATGTGCCAACCCCAGCAAGCAGCAGAACTTGGCAGCTTTGGCTACATAGTTCTAGGTTTAGAGTTAAGGATAGAAGAAATGGGTTATGGAATCTTCCTCTGTGACTAAGGAAAACTGCTGAGCTCAGGCATGTGTCCAGAGTGTCCTTGCATGGAGGCCTAGAGAGGCCATTGTATGAAGCTGTGAAGGTGATGCCTTGATTGACTTTAGACCCCAAAATGTTGGAGATGCCAGAGCTGTGGAATACCTGTCAAGGAGAGCTGCTAACAGGGAGTGGAACCAGCCCAAGAGAAAAAAATATGTTGCAGTCAACAAAGCTTAAAGGAGTTGGTTATCTGAGGAGCATTTTGACATGAGACATAGAGATGTAGTTTGGAGTTTACCTAGATGGTTTTCAGGCTTGTTTTGGTCCAGCATTTCCTTACTGTCCTTGCTTTCCTCCACTTTGCAATAACAACATATATCCTGTGCCATTACATATTGGAAGTATGCTTTTTATTTTTATTTTACAGGGGATTACACTTAAGAGATTGAATTAGAAGAGATTTTAAACTCTGAACTCATTTTTTCTTGTTTTTCAAGACAGAATCTCTCTGTGTAGCTTTAGCTATCCTGGAATTCACTCTGTAGACCAGATTGGCCTTGAACTCATGGATATACACCTACCTCTGGCTCCTGAGTGCTGGGATTAAAGGTGGGCACCACTACCGACTGGCTTGGACTTTTAAACATAATTGAGAATGTGATAGACTATGTAGCCTTTTGAAGTTGGATCAAATGAATTTTGCATTATGTTATGGATGCAAGCCTGTGGTGGGGGCCAGGGAATAGGATGTGGTGGTTTGAATAGGTGTGTGAATGCTTGGCCGTTAGGGAGTGGCACTGTTAGGAGGTGTGGCCTTGTTGGAGTAAGTGTGGCCTTGTTAGGAAGTGTGTCACTGTGGGGGCTGGCTTTGAGGTCTCCTATGCTGAAGCTACTCCTAGTTTTGTGGACAGTCCACTTCCTGCAGATCAGGATATAGAACTCTCTACTCCTTCTCTAGCACCATGTCTGCCTGCATGCCACCATGAAGATAATGGACTAAACCTCTGAAACTGTAAACCAGCCTGAATAAAATGTTTCCCTTTATAAGAGTTGCCATGATCATGGTGTCTCTTCACAGCAATAGAACCCCTAACTAAGACATAGTGTCTGGCAGGCCCTGGGTGCTCTTATACTGCCCCATCCTCAGCTTTTAATGCTCTCTCTTGCAGGGAGGGGCCTAGTGAATGTGCTCAGTTTCAGGGACTTCCTGAAGCTATTTTGAGTTGTTACCTTCCTGCTTAAGGAGCATCAGTGCAGCATGGAATGTTTCAATACAGGCAAAAACTGTTACACAACAGCAACTGTGACTAAGGCCCTAGTTCTGTTTTTGGTCAATTCACACTCTATTTATAGAAGAGACCGAAGAGGGTTCTGATGTGTTTTCCTCCAATAAAACACTAGGTGGGGTTGTCTTTAAGGAAGCAGTAGAGGGAGGGGGAAGGCGGTGCTGAGGTGGGAAGTGAGGAGGCTGTATGCCTGTAGACCAGTAGGATCTGAAATTCAAGATAGAGTTGTTGAAGCAAGAAAGTTCTAGAAGGAGGGTAGGGCTTCCGTGGTGCTGGAACAGCTGCCCTTGGAGCTGTTCCATTTTAAAATGAATGTTCATTCATTGATCTCTCTCACACGCTGAGCCTGCAGCAGTGGCCATGCACATCCTGGCAAGGAACAGTGTCCCTGGAGGCTGGAGTGTGAGTCTTTGTTTGTTTGAGACAGGGTTTCTCTAAGTAGCCCTGGCTGTTCTGGAATTAGCTCCGTAGACCAGGCTGGTCTTGATTGAATCACAGGGATCCACATGCCTCTGCCTCCTGAGTGCTGGAATTAAAGGTGTGTGCCACCACTACCCAGTGTGAGTCATTCTTAGTAAGAAAGGAAGACTCAGAGCACTGGGGTTTAGACTGTGAGGAAGATAATCTAAATAAAAACAGGAAGAGGAATAGCCAAGAAAGTCATTTACCCAATGATGAGTCAGAAATGAGCAGAACTCTCCAGACCACAGCCAGAGCTCTTCTGGGAACATTGAGCTGCCCCAGCAGCTGCCCTCATGTCTACACCTGTGGTGTGTGCACCTGTATACACTGTGCCAGCCTATTTCAGGGGCTCTGCCTTTGAAGAGATCAAGGCCCGGAGGGCTTCATGGAGAAGGTGAAGTAGGAAGCTGGACTCTGGGAGATGCTCAAGTAGAAGAAAGTAATGTGCATGGCAGCTCCTAGGTGAGACCGAGACCTGCTAGGGTTGGGGGCCTCACCACCAGGAGAGGAGCAAAGAGCTGGACCAGGAGATGGGGTGGTGCCCCAGCAGGATATGAAGAACAAGCAGAGGAAGAACTGGAGAGGGGAAGGGGTACCAAGAGAGGGTCTGAGGCTGGGCAGCCACAGTGGACCAGCTGCCAGCAATTGAGGCTTGTTGTCATCGCCTTCATTCATGCCCAGAACTCTCACAAACTGATTAGCAATTGTTCCTCCAGCTTCTGGGGAGGTCTGGAGATTGCAGGGGTGTGTGTGGGGAGAGGCCAAGGGATTGCAGGGGCAGGTGGAGGGTGCAGGGAATTGCAGGGGTGTGTGTGTGTGTGTGTGTGTGTGAGAGAGAGAGAGAGAGGGAGAGAGAGAGAGAGAGAGAGAGAGAGAGAGAGAGAGAGAGCGCTCCCAAGGGATTGCAAGGGCATGGGGGGGGCAGGAGATTGTAGGGGTGTGTGTAGAGGGAAAAGCCAGGAGATTGCAGGAGTGTGTGTGGAGGGAGAGAGGCCTGGGGATTGCAGGGGTGAGTGAGTGTGTGGGGAGAGGCCCTGGAATTGCAGAAGTGAATATATGTGGGGGGGCGGAGGGGGGATTCTGGCTGAGCCTACAGGTTTACTTAGAAGGATCCACATGTAGTCTAGGGGGTGCGAGAGACCCCTCAACAAGAGACCTAGCTCTTTAGCCCCTCTATGCTTGCCCTCCTCCCAACCAAACCTGAGGGAATAATTAAATATACAGAGACCAAGAGAAGGCAGAGAGGGACCTTCGAAACTGAGTTCAGAAGAAATGGCAAGATAGTTCCGCAGGTAAAGGCACTTGTTGCCAAGTCTGACCACACAAGTTTCATCGCCTGAACCTACATGGTATAAAACCATGTACTCACAGCCACTAACTTTGACCTCAGCCTGGTCCTGACTGTGTTTCATCAGGTAATTATCTTGAGCAAGATGCTAGGAGAGCATTCTAGTTATCCCAGGGCATTTGGCCACTCCCCCACAGACCCCTGAGGGAAGCATGGGCACAATGGCACCAAACATGGTGAAGGCACCCAAGAAGAAAACCACTCAAAGAGAACCAGTCATTCTTAGCCTTAGCCAGTCATTCTAACTCCTCATCAGTGAAAGGGGATTCATAGCAACAGGGAGGGGCTGGGGCATGGCTCTGGAGAGAGTGTGTTTAGCAGGCACTGGGCCTGGGATACATCTCTAGCTCCAAGAAAAATAGCAATAGAAAAGCTTGTGTCCAGTGATGTTTACCACACACAAAAAAAAAACTGTTTTTGGTGTGTTGTGTGTTTTACCTTGTAATTTACTGAATCACTGCTGCCCCTAAAGGTGGGTGTTGTTCTTCTCATGTTGTGAGTGACCACCAATGTTAAGGTTAAGATCCACAGGTTCAAGAAAGGCCACCTGACTTGAACACCCTATAGCAGTGGTTCTCAACCTATGGGTAGTGACCCCCTTGGGGTGGCATATCATATATTCTGCATATCAGATATTTACATTACAATTTATAACAGTAGCAAAATTACAGTTATGAAGTAGCGACAAAATAATTGTACGGTTAGGGGTCACCACAACATGAGGAACTGTATTATAGTGTTAGAGCCTAGGGTGATTTCAGGATTGAGGGAGGCAGTGCATGGCCCTCACCATATGAGAGGGACTGTCTCTATGCTCTATGGTGCTGTTGACCTCCACCAGTCCTAACCCAAATGTCAGCCGTTACTATGTCCCGGCATTGCAGAGTACTGCCAGTTGTGAGTACAGCCTGGGGCTCTAGGGAACACATCTGATTTTTGTTCTGACAAAAAAGACACACATGAGGACATGGTGTGGACATCTCAAAGGGGTGTCACTGTCACATGAGCATGTTTTACCCCGTGAGACAGTCCCTCCCCAGGCTGCACTGGAGAGTTATGAAGGGGAGGGTGCAGCAATCTGCTGAGTCTGGGGCCACCCAGGTCATAGGACTGCCTGCTGCAATATGGCCCTCGGCTGGACCCAGTGCTCAGTGACAAGCTTACCTTCTTGCCCCTGCAAATAATTCCTTGAGGAAGCAGATGGAAGGGCAGTGAGGCTGAGGAGGAAGCGAGAGGTGAGGGGACTTGTGTTAAAACAAACTGCAAGTGCCAATAACAACTGAGGTGAGTTGCCAACATTTGTGAACTTCCCTTAAGACCTGCATTCCAGCTGTCCTCTGCAAGCCTCTGGGGGCTGGGAAGAGGGAGTGTGCCTCTGTGAGGCATAAGAACAAGGACTGGGCCGCTGTCCAATCCCAGCTGTGTCACTCTGTGTGTTCTTGGCTGAGTAACTTCACCTCTCTGTGTTCTGGTTCCTTCAGGTGCACAATGAAGATAATAAGAGTCCTTGCTTCAGAACTGTCGTGAAGATTGCCTGAGAACACAGCTTGAGGATACTCTAGGGCAAGTGTGGTAAGATGGCTCAGCAGGAAAAGGTGCTTGCACTACAAGCCTGGAAATCTGAGTTCAATCCCTGGAACCCAGGTAAAAGTGGGAAGAGAAAACTGAATCCACAAAGTTGATCTCTGACCTCCATGCATGCACTGTGACATGCACACTCCACATACACGGTATCCACTACATACATCTGCATAACAAATTAAATAATGTAAAACACTCTGGGTACAAGAGAAGCATTCAGGATGCTAGTCACTGATTTTATCTCATCGTTCTCTAGGATCAAATGAGAGCTCTTACTTCACATTCTCTCTCCAGGCAAAGCTGTGGGGCTAGGGCTTAGTGAGCCAGGGCCTTGATGCACTAGCTTGATAATCGGAGTTTGATCCCCAGGGGTGTACAAGGAGACAGGTGGATCCTTGAGGTTTGCCAGATGACCAGTCTAACCAAAACAGAGAGCTCCAGGTTCAGTGAGAGACCCTGTCTCAAAAAATAAGGTGAAGGGTGATAGAGGAGGACACCACTGTCAACATCTGGTCTTTACACACACATAGGAGGTGCACATATATACCACACACACACACACACACACACACACACACACACACACACACACACACCAATATGATAGGACTGAAAAATGGCCACTCCTTACCTGGACTGAGAGTTGTTCTTGGTCCCCACATCCCAGCCCCACAAGCCCAGGCTAACACTCTTTAGTTTTCTTTTCTTTTCTTTTCTTTTCTTTTCTTTTCTTTTCTTTTCTTTCCTTTCCTTTTCTTTCATTTCCTTTCCTTTCCTTTTCTTCTCTTCTCTTTTCTTCCTTCCTTTCTCTTTTTTTTTTTTTGAGACAGGATTTCTCTGTGTAGCTTTGGACCCTGTCCTGGCACTCCCTTTGTAGATCTTGAACTCACAGAGATCCACCTGCCTCTGCTTCCCAAGTGCTGGAATTAAAGACGTGCACCACCAACACCTGACATCAGGCTAACACTCTTAACAGAGTTCTGGGGCTGAAGAGATGGCTCCACAATGAAAAGCACCCAGCACTTTTGCAGAGGACCCCAGTTTGTTTGCAGTACTCATTCAGGCAGCTTACAACGCAAATACCTACACATAGACATACCATGCATACACATAACTAAAAATCAAAATCTCAGAATTAAACAGTTGAAAAGAAAAAGAAAAAGGGAGTAACACCATGTAGAAGCCTGCCTGGAATTGTCATTTGGCTTGGATCCTCACTCCATCCCTCTGGACCAGTTTCCGATTTACAGTGGGGGTGCAGAGCCCTGTGAACACACTCCTCCATGAAAGAAGCCATGCAGTGTGGTTGCATTCATCAAAATGTCCACCATCGGCAAATTTATGGCAGAGTGTAGATTTCTGGGGGGCTGGAGACCTGGTGGCAGAACTCCTAGTGGGCCTGGGGCTTCCTTTGCAGTGATAGAATATTCTGGAACTAAATGGTGGTAATGGTTATACAAGCTTGTGAATGCACTAAAACCCACTGAAATTAGCACATCAGTATGGGGTTACATAGGTCAATTACACCTCCATGTTTTCAATTTCACAGGCATGGATGGGCCTCTCTGGTCAGAGGTGTGAGGGAGATCAGAGAAGGAGTGTGCTGGCTGGCTGGCAGAGTATGGGCACCCTCTGACATTCTCCAGCACAGCCAGCTTGGCCCAAGTAGGTCAGGGCAGTTTCCTGGCCTGTAGCCTGAGTTCCCTCCCACTCACTTGTATTTATGGCCAAGATCTGCCTGGAGCCCTCTTACCTTCAAAGGCTGAGGACACTGCTTGCTCAGACTCTACTCAAGGACTCTGCAGGGCAGGGCAGGGCAGGGCAGGGCAGGGCTGGATGGCTTCCTGAGGGTACAGCTGACTTGGATGGCCCACAGAGAGCTCAGCCCTGGGCAAGCCATTTTGGGCAGGGACTGCACCTGTAAGCTCCACCCTGCAGTTTCTGTCCCACCTGCCCCATCTTTTCTTTAGAAGTCAGAGCAGCATAGAGTGGACTCAGCCTACAAGCTGCACAACTGCATCTGTGGTATGGGATTCCTTGGCTAGCCTCAGCCTCTGGGTACCCAACTCACTCCCACTGGCTACTAAGAGGAAGAAACAACACTTCACCCTTCTGCCTTCTCTAGAATCTTCTATGCATGACACACCTCTCAGGCCCTGAAAACGCATACATTACCCAAGCTGGTGGCCAAGACTCCTCTTGTTATGGGATCAAGAAAGGTAAAGTTCCCTGCTGCAGCTCTGCTAAGGCCTGCAGGGTTGACCTGAAGAAGCAGTTTGTGCCCAGGGCTAATAAATTATGATTCCCTGGTTCCTGAATGCTCTTGTAAGCACACCTCAGCATCGGCGTTCCTGGGCACCTCCACTTGTGTATAAGCACAGACAAACGTGCATACCACATGGGGATCAGTGCATACATGTAGAATTCTGCTTCCCCATCGTGTCTATGCTCCTGACTGCATGTACCTACTTCAATAGACAACAGCTCTCAAACACTGTGTCCCTGTCTACACTTAGACCCTGGATGTACAGCTGTGTGCGCATTGCTCTCTGTTGCTTCACTGGCAGTGAGTCTTAAATCGTGTATGTTTTTACATTTCCTTCTCCTAGAGCATACTTGGTATTTGCTATCATTGTATATAGTTTTATATCAAGCCTAAACCTTCTCATTTAGACTAAAAGGGGAATTGTAGCAATATATTTGCCTGTGAACCTGTAACAATGGCCATGCCTTTTCAGTTAAAGGGAGAGGATAAGGAGGCAGGGTCTACATCATTGGAGCAGGAACACCACGACAGCCACTTACTTTTTTCTGTGTAAGTTCTTTCCCTAATAAAACTCCACTTATCATTTATACTGGGTCTGGTGAATCATAATTTACACACTGTCAGTGTCTATGCTCCTGACTGTATTTACTTGCTTCAATAGACAACAGCTCTCAAACACTGTGTCCCTGTCTACACTTAGACCCTGGATGTACAGCTGTGTGCATGAGTCTGCTGGTGCTCATCCTTGTGTGTGTGTGGCTGTGCTCAAAGGGCTCTCCTGCACTCAAGTCAGTGCACACATGTCTTTTCTGTGGTGCAGAGCCAGACATCACAGTGGTCATGGGGCAGCCCAGGCCCTGGAGGTATATCTGGGCACAAATTCAGTGCTCACTGCAAGTGGCAGGTGGCACTGGTGAGCAGCATGGAAAACAAGGGTGCTAGAGAAAGCAAGGCTGCTGCCTACAGGCTCTGGAGACTGAAGAGCCTGAAGGACATGCAGAGGGAGAGGGGACTGCTTAAAGCTGACCCAGTGATCCTGGGGAACGGGTCAGCATGGGGATACTCCACTGCTCCCATTCCAAGCCTACAATATCTGTTCTCTTAGGACTCCTGGAATGCAAAGTCTCAGATAGAGAAGGCTGCCCCACAGGTGCATGGGTCCAGATACAAGGATGTGGGAGGGGCCAGCATAGACAGGAGGAGGAGCTTCCTGTCTGAAGAATCACCAACAGCTTGGGGGAGGACCAATGCTGCACAGCCTCCCTCCTGTCTGAGGCACAGCTCAGCCTGGCTCTAGTACCTTAGGCTCAGGCACCAGAGCAGAAGGCTCAGGAGGGAGGCAGAGGCTCCTGTGAGATCTTGTGGGCAGGTGAGCTGTTGGTGGGGGAAGAGCACTCACCAGCTGGCTAGGCCCTCAGGGTGCTTCACAAAACCTGGTGAGTGCTCAGTGATTCACAGGGCCAGTACCTGCCGGTTCCCTTCACCGGCCAGGGCTCAAAGCAACTCTCAGTGAGAGAGTTATGATCCAACTCAACATATTGATACCAAGACCCAATTGAGATCACTCCCAAATCTGAATCCCCAGTGGGTTCTTTTTGTTTGTTTGTTTTTGTTTTTTCAAGACAGGGTTTCTCTATCCTGGCTATCCTGGAACTTGCTCTGTAGACAAGGCTGGCCTTGAAGTCACAGAGATCCATCTGTCTTTGCCTCCCAAGTGCTGGGATCAAAGGTGTGCGCCACCACCACCTGGCTGACAGTGGGCTCTAAGAGAAGAATTGGGCCCCACAGACTTGTGGGTGGCCCAGGGTTGCTCCTCTGGATAAGGTTATCAAGAGTCTGTGAGATGCTGCCCAGAATCATGGACATGTTTTCCTGCAAAAGCTAGAGAGGGCTATCCATTGCTTCAAGGTCTCACAGCACGGAAGCCTGTAGTAGCCAACTGTGAGTCTGAGTGCTGTCCTGCCCTTCTGTCCAGGCTGCCCTGGGGTGGCTTCTGTGGGGAAACACTGTTCTTCAGGCAGGCAATGTCTCTCCACGCAGCCTCTGGCCCTAGTTATCCCACCATTTCATCAGTAGTGATCACTGAGGCTGTGTTTTATCATAGGAAGGGGAGCTCACCCTTCCCTTTGACTTAAGTGAGGCCACTAGAAGCCCCCAGCACAACAGCTTCTGTGAGGATCTGATCACAACACCAGTTCAGAACCACCTACCCAGACCCTTGACCTTACCACTGTCCTCAACAGGCATCAGAGGACACACAGGCAGCTGGGGGAGGGGAGCAGGGCACCTCAGACATCTGAGGATGGTGAGGTATGGAAAAGGAAACTCGGCTGTTCAGATGGGCCCAGAGATCTGCAGAAGGTATGCGCATGAACACATCATAGAACATGTTAGCACTCCTGTTAAATGAAGCCAGAGGAGCCTTCAGAGACTGTGGTCACTGGCAGCTTTAACCGGAGACAGCTTTAAGGTGGAGCTGTGTGGTCTTCCCTTCCCAGCTTGCTTGTGCTGTAGGCTAGCATGCCCTGTTCCTGTCCACACTATTTGTGCCTTTGACAGTGGGGTTGTCTCACTGGGCTGAGTGCAGAGACAAGCTGCAGAGGGAAGAGTTCCAAAGATCTCAGTGTCCAACTGCTTCACCTGCTGAAAAGAAACAGGCCCAGGCAGCCCAAGGACACTTGAAGCCAAGATTTGGATATCCACCCAGTCCTTAGACGAAGAAGCCTGGGTCAAGGCAGGACCTGCTTTTGCTATTCTCTGGTGGTCTTAGGGTAAACTGCAGTCTGGCAGCCCAGGCTGTCCCTTATGTAATGTCCTGTCATCCTTGTGTTGGCTTCCTTTGTCTCTTCCTGGAAAAACTCACCTCAGTTCTGCCCTGAAAGACAAAGGTCGTGTAAAAGTACTCACCAAGGCTGTCCCCCTTAGGCTGGCAAACTGGCAAGATGGACCAGCTTAGAAATGCTGAGTGAGCATTAATTTCAGGGCTCCACAGCCACAGCTGGGCATGATCCACAACCCTCATCTCCTCTCATCCTTGTCATGGCCTTCTTGAGACTTCCTGTCCTTGGCCTCCTGGATTGTCTTCTGTCCTCCCTGGCTGGTCCTTCTCAGCTGTCCCTGGTCTTCCAGGTCTCTTTGTCCCTGCCTGTGGGAGTTTCCTTAGCCCACGGCCTACTGTTCTTGCTATATTGGGAGCTGGGTCACCAAGCAGGTGGGTGTCACATGGGACTTACAGACAGAAGCACCAGTGGTGTTGGTGTCTGCCATTTGGTCCATTTGGTGAGACACAAGTTTGTGTGGTGCTTGTGCTCAATCTTGCCGAGAAGGTTTCTCTTCGATGTGCAGGTGGGTTGAACACCATCCCTCTTCAATTCTTCCGGCTGCTCAGGATTTACCTCAGTGACTTCTCACTGTCTTCAGCCACCTGTCAGCAAATTTCCAAGTCACATATGGCTTTTTCCAGACCTGATGTCACTACCTTCCAGAAAAAAACCTGTATTAATCACCATTTATCACTGTACCAAATTACCTGAAAAACAAAAAGAAAAGAAAGAAAACACTTAGAGGAGGATGGATTTATTTTGGCAGTGGTTTCAGTCTGTAGGCCTGAGGCAGAGCTGAAACATCATGATGGAAGGGTTTAGAGGAAGGCTGCTTACTTCATGGAGAGGGCAGCAGAGAGGCAGAAGGGGAGCAAGGACAAGCACACCCCCAGTGACCAACTCTATCCAACTGTGCCTTGCTTAGCACATCCCCCTTAACTATACAGCCACATTTATATTAATTCATTGATGCAATTAGCATCTAATGATCTAATCATCCCTCAACAAAGCTGGGTACCAGGTCTTCAACCCACAGAGCGTCTAGGAGGCACCTCATATCCAAACCATACCACCCTGGATGTCTCCTGGCTCCCAGGCTTGGCAGCACCATTTCAGACCTACTATTTCCACCATCCTGTAATCCTTCAGTTTCCTCCCCTCCAAGGCAGATCTCTTCCCAAGGCTGGGTGGGCCAACCTTCTCCACAACTATGAAACGGGGATACTTCTACCTACCCATCTCTCACCCCTCCCCAGGTCCAAGCCACTGTTTCCCTTTCAGTTGTCCTGCCTCTCATCTCCTCATCCATTTAACCCTCTCTATATTAGCTTGTTCACATGTCCCTATTGCTCCCAGGATAATCGCATGCTCCCTACAGTGACCTTCAAGATGTCTAGAAGGTAGCTTCCTTTCCTGGCATCCAGAGTCTTAACACCATGCTCCAGGTGCTGGGATAGCTCAATAGCTGCTGAAAAAAAACACACTTGGAAAGCGGCTGGGCTGGGGTGGAGGTAAAAGAGGATTAGAAGGGACCCCTGATATTGTCTATTCTACCACAGAAGGCCCAGCTTCTCTGCTCAGGTTGGGAGCTCCTCCTCTCCCAATCTCTGAATGGGTCTTGCTATGAGCAAGTTCTGTGCCTGGGGTATAGCAATAGGGAATTGAAATGAGAGGATTGTGTTGCCTTCAGGGACACTTAAATATCTGATCTCTTCTGAGCCCTACCTATGGAAGTCCTAGGTCTCTGGATATGGACACCCGGGAGCTCTGTAGTTTCTAAGGAAGCAAGTATGAACACAGCAGAACGCCACTGAAACCACCAGGGGGCAGTGCTGCCCCACTCACTGCCTGGGACGTTCTGTCTTTGAGGTCTTCTGAGGAGAATGTGTGTGTGTGTGTGTGTGTGTGTGTGTGTGTGTGTGTGTGACTCTGTGCATCTCCTGGTAGATTGGGATGTCCATTTTTGTTCACATCAGTGCCTCCCAATCTAGTCATTTTGTGGGCAGGATGGCAGGATGGAACGCCTGGACCACAATCACTTTCTGTGTGTCCACCTCTGTTCCACAGGCCACACATGTCCAGGAGAGCTATGAATTCTTCTCAATACAAAATTATAAATGTCTTTAAAGCATGGTGAAGTGGTTTGGGATGTGGTTGCTACAATTGTTTTTACTCTATAGCTCAGTTCTATGATTTTGCTCATGAACTTTGTTGATCACAATGTTACATGGCAATGTCAAATGGATGAACAGCTGGAGAGATGGCTCAGCAGCTGGAAGTGCTCACTGCTCTCTCAAAGGACCAGGGCTTAGCTTCCATTCTCAACACCCACACCAGGTGGCTCAAAGGACTGCCTGGGGCACAAGTCCCAAGAGATTATGTACCCTATGGCTTTGTTGAACAACTGCACACACTCAGTGTACATAAACTCATGAAAGTACACACAAACACACATAAATAAAATAATATTTTACAGGGGTGGAGCCTGAGACTGTAGCTTAGTTGCCAGAGTGCTTACCGGTATAGTTTGAGCATAGTGGCACATACCTCTAACCCCAGCTCTCAGAAAGTAGAGACAAGAGGATCTGAAATTCAAGGTCATCCTTAGCTACAATAAGGAGTTTGAGCTAGCCTGGACAAACGAGTAGCCCCAAAAGAAAAGTTGGACACATCCAATTGAGCCTTACTGACTACATCCAGGCCTCAGCACTTGTCAATCAGAGCAATGATCTTGAGAAGGACCAGTTGTTCTTGTCACTGGCTAG